ACCCCGTGAGTCATGGACGGAGTCTGGACCCAAGCCAGAGGGCAGCTCTGAGCCTCGGAGGGGTTTAAGCAGAGTGACATAACCATAACTGGGCTCCAGAAGCAGCTCCCCGCTGCATAGTCTGGCCACTGGGAGGAGGGAGCTGGATTGTGGACGAGGGACTCGGAGTCGTGGAGGGGGTGGGCCAGATTAAGGTGGGCACCTCTCGCTCAGGGCGGTGCAGGGGTCCTCAGAGGCATCCGTGTAGTGTTTGGAGTCAAGAAAACTGTGGCGCTGGCACAAACAGTAAAGGATCCCGCTTCTTCCCGGCCTTTGGGCAAGGCCGTTCCGGGTGGAGACGCCCTGCCCGCCCGCCTCCCAGGGCTCCTCCCCGCCGGGCATCTCGGCCGTTCATGCGCGCGAGTGCCGCAAGGGGGCAGCAGCGCACCACCGTCCTCTCCCATTCTCCCCTGGAGCCACACTCCTGATTAACCTTACAGTTTTAATGAGGTGGACGACTTATTAAAACACAGACTTCTGGGCCCCGTCTCAAGAGTTTCTGTGAATCTGGAATGGGACCCAAGATATTTGCATTTCTAACCAGTTTCCAGATGAGGCTGATGCTTCTGGTCCCGGGACCCCACTCTGAGAACTACTGAGGTTGAGTGTTGGGTGGGGATGGGGTGAGCTCTGACCCACCCAAACATGGCCACTGGGAAATCACTGCCAACCGGGCAGCCACTCCCATTTGACAACGATGGCGTATTTACTTTTCTAAGCCCCCATTAAATCCCTTTTTCAAAATGCTGAATGAAGGTATATCATTTCATTCATTCAATAAGGACCAAGCCTGGTTCTGTCCTCGGTGTTGTTCTAAGTCCTGGGGATCCAGGAAACAAAGCAGAAAAAATAGGTCCCAGCCAGCACTTGCGGAGTCAGGCAACAAATAATAAATGTTACAAACAAGTCAGGTAGTGTGTTAAAACACGCTACATGCATCAGAGGGACGGAACAGGGTGGCTGAGGCAGGTTCTCTGTGAAGTGTTTACTTTGTGAGTCAAACTTGAAAGAAAGTGAGGGGATTAGCCATGGGGAAACTTGGGGGAAGATTATGCCAGGCATAGGGAACAGCCAGCGCAAAGGTCCTGAGGTGGGAGAATGTCTGGCATGTTCAAGAGACAGCCAGGAGCACCATGAGGTCAGAGCAGCACGAGCAAGGGGGAGAGTAATTGAGGATGAGGGCAGACAGGTGACTGGGGCACAGTGAGGGGCGCTGTAGGTTGTGTGGAGGCCTTTAGATGTTCTCAGGTGCAGGAGCGGCGTGGTCTGGCTTGGCTTGAACAGGATCCCTCTGCACACACTGCAAGGAGCAGGGTGGAAGTCAGGAGAACAAGAAGAGGGTGTGAGGTCATCGGGGCAGAGATGATGGTAGCCCTGGCTGGGGAGCGGTGGAGAGGACAGGGTGGTAAGAGTTTATACATACCAGCAAACCCCATACTTGTCTGTATTTCCATAACTAAATGGCCGGGTCAATGTGATCATCTACTCCTCTGTGCAGCGACTCAAATTCCCGACCTTAACTCATGTCTCTATGTCAGTCTATGATCTTTGATCGTCTTTGATCTCCAGCTGCCTCTGGCCACACTGTCCTAGGCGACCACTGCATCCTCGAACTCAAGGCATCGAGGACACCCCCTCATCTGCCACCTGTAGAGCCTCCACCACTCTCCCGGGTTTCTGTTGGTGGCCCCTCCACTCTGCCGCCCTCCAGCCCAAAGCCCAGGGCTGTATTGGGTATCTTAGTTCCCGTGCTGCTCACATGCATTCTTCAAACCAGATCTCACAGGCAATGTCAGGCTCTGCTGATTCTCCATCTGTTCCCTCTTTCCCATGCCCACAGCTACCTGTCCAGGCCCATGGGCCTCACCCCTGAACACTGCAGCGACTGCTCACAGGGGAGCCTGGTGGCCAGGGGCATGGGCTCTTGAGCAGGATTCTCTGGGTTTGAATCCTGGTTCTGCCCCTGTGAACTTGGGGCTTTTTCCTCAATTTGCCATCTCAGTTTCTCTGTCAGTGAAATGGGCATAATTATACTTCAAATGTTATTATGAGGGTCAAGTGAGAGATTACATAGAAGATGCTTGGAGCACAGTCTTGTATGTGGTGAGAACTCAATAAATACTAGCTCTTTTAGCATTAATTTTTAAAGTTCATTATTTTGAGAGAGAGAGAGAACACAAGCAGGGGAGGAACAGAGAGAGAAGAGGGAGAGAGAATCCCAAGCAGGCTCCACACTGTCAGTGCAGAGCCCGATGCGGGACTCAAACTCACAAACCGTGAGATCATGACCTGAACCAAAATCAAGAGTCCGACACTTAACTGACTGAGCCACCCAGGCGCCCCAGCTCTCTTATTATTTATGCAATAAGTCTTTATTGAGTACTTATTGTATAGAGACCTCCATCTACTGGAAGATAATCGAACCCAGGAAGAAGAGTGCAGACCCCAGCAATTCCACTTTTGAATGTTGATCCAACAGAAGTGTTCATCAATATCCAGCAGAAGACACGGACTAGAATGACACCCTATTCATAACAGCCCCCATCCAGAAACTACCCATCAGGCATAGAACAGGTAGAGAAAATGTAGTATATTCGTGCAAGGGAATAATACCATAGTGATGAGAAGGAATGCACGATTGTTACCTGCAACAACATGGATATTTAACAAGTATAAATGTAACGGGGAATGGCTGGGCCCAGCACCTCCAGCTGTGGGTTTCAGTGGGGGGTAGTCTGATTTTCACCTAACCTGTGCCCCCAAAATGACCTCCTCTTCTTTACAAACAAAATTCCCAGCCTTTGCCTCATATCTTTCCCTGACTTGCCAAAGAACCGTGAAGGCAGGACAATAATAATAGCCTGTATTTCGGGTGAACACAGAGGAATTACCGCGACCTAATATGGGAACTCATCAACACAGTGATCCTTTAGGGTGGGTACTGCTCTTTATGCCCATTTTACAGATGAAAAAACTAAAGCACTAAAAGGTCAAGTCAAGAGGATGATAGCTAAAATTGTTATTTCAGGGGCGCCTGGGTGGCTCAGTCGGTTAAGCGTCCGACTTCGGCTCAGGTTGTGATCTCGTGGTCCGTGAGTTCAAGCCCCGTGTCGGGGTCTGTGCTGACCGCTCAGAGCCTGGAGCCTGTTTCAGATTCTGTGTCTCCCTCTCTCTGACCCTCCCCCATTCATGGTCTGTCTCTCTCTGTCTCAAAAATAAGTAAACATTAAAAAAAAATTAAAATTGTTATTTCAGTCTCAGAATACTCAACAACCCTCTGTGTAGAGCGCTGCTGTTCAGCCCACTTTAGAGAAAAGGACCCTGAGGCACGAAGAAGTTAGGTACCGCCTAAAATCACACCAGGAAACAGCAGAGCTGGGTTGGGCCGGATGGCCAAGCCCACTCTGTGCAGCTCTGTTCACAGCTGCTTGATAGTGAGGTCACAGGCCTTGTAGCCAGATGGCCCAGGGCCCAGCACCACAATCCTAGGACAACCCGTTACTCTGGGTCTCAGTTTACCCATCTCTAAAATGGGAATATCGATAGCACTTTCCTTCAGGGATGTCCCAAGGGCAACATGCAATTGTGGGTAAAGTGCCCGGAAGCAAGGGCCCCACAGCAGGAATCATTGGACACAGGTCTGTTGTCCTCATCCTCGCTCTCACTGTTTCTAGGGATATTCTCCGAATTTTCCCCGGCAATGTGTTCAGAGTTTACCCCTGTGGAGCCTGACCCACTGAAACTCTCATCCTGTAAGAGAGCATCAACTCAGCCTTAAGTCAGGTAAACTGGGCGTCCAAGCAGCTTTCTCATCTGTGAACCAGAGTTTTGTGAGGAATAAGTGGCCCAGATGCTGCCTGTGATTCTCTGGGGTTTTTGGAGGAGGTGTTACCTGAGTAAAGTGCTGGAGGCAGCTGTCCCCAGGGGCAGGTCATGTGCCTTCTGTGAGCTGGGGCCACCCTTCGCCTCCTCTGCAGAGTATCTCAGGGCCCTAGACTCCCAGGCTCCCTTGCCTCTCACCTTCCGGGGGAGGGGGTGATGTGACCAATGGAAGGCACTAATGGAAACTGGGGGTAGGAGAAGTAGAAGCCAGGTCTGCCTCCCCATCTCCATTGCTTTTTGCTAGGTCTGCAAGGCTGCGTGTCCTTGGGGGCTCCTGCTCCCCGCAGCCGGCCCTGCTGTGATTCCACCTTCTGCTGGTTGATCGCGGCTTCTGGGCTCTGCTCTCCCTCAAACCCTGCATCCCAACAGCTGGTGCCAAGTGAAAGAAGCCATTCACAAAACAATACCTCCTGCGTGATGCTCTTTATGTTAAGAACAGGCAGCTAGCTATCCGTCATCTAAGGTGCTGGAACTCAGAACCGTGGTTGCCTTCAGGGGTGGAGGGGATGACAGGAAGGCACCGTAGGAAACTTCCTGAGACGATGGAAATGTTTTGTACCTTGATGGGGGTATTGATTACACAGGCGTATACATTTGTAAAGACTCGGTAAACCATATGTTAAGACCTGTGTGTTTCACTGTGTGTAAGCCATGCCTCAACAAAATTAGCTTAATGAAAAGAAATCCCTGTTTAAATACTCAGTGTTTTCTAATTTCCTGACTGGAGTGTGATGAGAACACAGTTTTCCTTTTTAAACACACAGATGTAGATCACAGAGGAGGAAAGAAAATTTATATGTAGGTTTAAAAAAGAAAAAAAAAACAATTGGGGTGCCTGGGTGGCGCAGTCGGTTAAGCATCCGACTTCAGCCAGGTCACGATCTCGCGGTCCGGGAGTTCGAGCCCCGCGTCGGGCTCTGGGCTGATGGCTCAGAGCCTGGAGCCGGTTTCCGATTCTGTGTCTCCCTCTCTCTCTGCCCCTCCCCCGTTCATGCTCTATCTCTCTCTGTCCCAAAAATAAATAAATGTTGAAAAAAATAAAAAACAAAAAAAAACAAAAAAACAATAAAACATGAGACTTCAAACAATTGCACACTTGGGTGGGTTTATTTCAGGCCGTGTTCCCCAGTCGCTGGGGGCAAGCCTTCATTTCCCCCCTGATTTTCTCTGGTCTTAAATGTTGCGAAGCACCAAGCTCTATATAAAGTGTCTAGCTCAGTGCCTGGCACGTTGCAGGTGTGCGCGAAAGGTTCATTTTTATTAACACGAGTTGGTTTTAACGGATCCCTTTCAGGCCTGTTTTCTGACTTTCTTCAAGACAGTGTGATTTCACCTTGTGATTTTCGCAAAGGATGCAGCCTCTGCATGCTGCCCTTGGATGGGGAGCGCTTTCTCAGACAGCATAAGCTTGACCTACAAGCTCTTGCCTAGGCATGTACCTGGGACGTTTTTATGTCAACTCCAGGAAAGGGAGCAAGAGATTCAGAATATCTGTGCGCCCCTCTTCACCACACCCCTGGGAAAATAGCCAGTCCAGCCCAGCACCTGCCTTGGCCTAATGATTAAGGGACAGCTGGTTGCCTTATCTGCTGGAAAGCTTGCCCATGTGTGTGTTTGATAAAGGCTGTGTGGAGGCGGGTAATGGACCAGAAGACCCTGGAAACCTTGGCCAGCCCCCTAGGCTGTGAGGTAGAGGAAGGGAGACTGGGACACGCAACCCAGCTCTATCTCAGGGTCCAGATGGACCAGACGGCTTGTGAACATTCTTGTCCTCCAGGGCCTGCATGGTGTTGCCCCAGTCCAGGGTGTGGGGAGGGCCCAGGCACGGGGCTGCCTGCTGGATGAGGGTGGGCACCGAACCCCCCTTCCCAGCTCTGCTCTAAAAGGCACTGTTCCGTGGGCTGCGGCCCCTGGCAGGTGGACAGGGCCTAGTCAGGCACAGGTGGTGCTGGGTCTCCAGTCGGCAGAGGCGGTTCTGGTTGGACACCCGGGTGGCCACGCCCAGCCCGCAGGTGGTTGAGCAGGGGCCCCAGGCCGTGCTCCATTCTGGGCAGGGGATGCCAGGGGGTGGGGGAGCGACAAGGCCAGAAAACTGGGGTCCTGGGAGGGGGGAAGAAAAAGAGGTCAGCACCGCGAGGTCAGGGCTTGGCGGCTAAGTCAACCCAACTGCTAGCGGTGCCCTCTTGGTCGCGTTGCTTAACCTCTCTGGACCTCGGTCTCTTCCCATGTAAATTTTCTACTGGTCGATTGTTAGGGCTGAATAAAATAATGGAGGGGAGGTGCTTAGCACAGTACTCCTACTTGTAAGCACCTCGTATGTGTGGGTTACTAGGCAGCTGGGATGGTGCCGGCCGGGACGGTCCCCCAGGAAGTGGCACGTTTCTCATTTCTGCACCCCTCCCCCCACGGCCTCTTACAGGAAGGAGATTGTGTGGGTAGTGGTACCGTGACCCGGCCGCAAAGATGCTAGAGGTTCTGAGGCTGTGCCCGGAACAAGACGGGGGGTTCACCACCGTCTAGGTTTTCCTCCTCTCACATCCGATTCTGCTCTGATGTTTTGGTGTCCTTTCTTCTGGTCCTTTTTAACCAACTGGTTCTCAACTGGGGGTGATTTTGCTCCCCACCCCCCCCCCCGGGACATTTGGCAATGTCCAGAGACCTTTTGACGGTCACACTGGGAGTGGGGGTACTGGAGTCTAGCCGGGATGCTGCTAAGCATCCTATCAGCTCCCACGCGACAGAGGGTTACCCGGCCCACGTGTCACTAGTGCCAAAGTTGAGAAACCCCGCGTGATATGACTTGTGTGCCGTCTGTATGCACACGCACATGTACTCACATACCGGAGGCCAAATTGCATAGACAGTGCCCTCTCCTGCTTTTTACGCACAAGATGAACTCGCTGGCATCCTGCTGTGCATTGAAGCGGATGTGCCCCGTTCCGTCATGGGGATAACTACAGCCACCACGGACGGAGTGCTATGTTCCAGGCACTGCCTGACTACTTTCCTTGTGTTTACTCGCCCAGTCTCGCAACAACTCTGCAAGGTGGATGCCCTTATTCTCACTTTGGAACAGTTGGAGGCACTGAGGCCCGGAGAAGTTAAGCAACTTTCTCAGAGTCCCACCGCTAGAAGTAGTGAAGCCGGGCTTAGAACCCCGGGCAGACTCCATGCTGAACCCACCATGCTCTACTCCCAATATGGCCCATCGCCAATGGACCCATGCCTTCTTTCCAGCTGCCTTTCTCTAGAAAAATCACATTCATATGATAATCATAATAACTCAGTGATGTAGCAAGAACCAAATCTCTAAAGAGTTTATAGCATGAGGTAACTGTCTTTCCTTCACCTCTGCCCCTAAGTCCACATCCCAGAGGCAACCACCTTGCCTGATTCAGTTTTGAGTTCCTCTTTGGGTACATCCAAATAATTACATATTAACACTAGTATATACTATTTAAATTATATAAATATATTATAATGCGTATTAGTATATTAGAATTATAATAGTAGTATGTCGTAATAGTACTTCCGCTATGAAATGCGAGCCTTTGGCTCAAGGATCCTAGCCCTCCTTTCCCTTCTCCACTCTGCCACTAATTTTCATTTTTCATTATTTATGACTTAAACTTATATTACTTCTTGTTTTGCCAGTTTCAAAGAGGTCTTGTGACTCCCCACTCTGCTCACCTAGTCTCCTCAGCCCGCACCCCCTCCCGGGTCCTGTCAGGGAAACCTGGGCTTTGACCTGTCCAGTCTCCTGGCTCCCGAGAAGCCCCGCCCTCGCCCCGCCCCCCTCCCCGGTGGCCCTGCCCCTCCCTGGCTTTGACCAGTCCAGTGTCCTGGCTCCCGAGAAGCCCCGCCCTCGCCCCGCCCCCAGGCGGCCCTGCCCCTGGCCTGGGCCAACCCTGCACTCACCTTGGGCTGGGAGGGGCTGGACCCCCAGCCCCCCTCCCTGGTCGCATACCCACTCAGGGCAGCACTTGCCCGGAACCTCAACCCTCCTGGGATACGGGCAGTCCCAGCTGGGCAGCCGGACGTCCTCACTGCACAGTGGCACACAGGTGAAGCCACCATCCTCACAGTGGCAGCGAACCCTGCAGTGGGGCTGGAAGGTCTCCCCATCTCGGTACACGCGGCCGTTCACCTCACAGCTCCCGTCATCCTCTCCCCCTGCAGAGGAGAAACCACACCCCCATCCGTGACCCCCAACTTTTCCCCGGGCAAGCCTGTGCCAGCCACATCCTCCACGTGGTCTCTCTGCAGAGCTGGCCCAGATCCTGCTGGGGAGCGGTGCCCTTACAGGGTCAGGACACTGGGCCAAAGGGCTCCAGCCCATCGTATGCACCCCGTCCCCACTGCCAGCCTGCCCTGGAGCCAGCAGGAACACAGCGTGACACACTGCATCCTGACACAAGGGATGGGGAGACGCTGGCCTGGTCGGAGCCCCACTCTGCTTTATTAGCTCTGGACCTTGGCCAAGCGACTTCACTTCTTGCCTCAGTTTCCTCACCTGCAAAGTGGGTTATAATGATACTTATTTCACAGGGTTGTGGTATAGACAAAATGAAATGATATATGTAATGAATCCAACATAAAAGAGATCTTCGATAGATCCTAGCTGCTCTGTTGTTACTATGAATATAAGTACTATATATCAATAATATATAACATAGGTACACAATGAGGGTTTCTGCAACAAAATTTCATTGTACATCTGCTGTGTGGTAGTCGTCCCTATTAGGCCAGGGCTCAACTTGCTGGCTGTGTGACTTTGGATAAGTTACTTGACTTCTCTGAGTCCCCTTAACAATAGCATTGATGAGAACAGCTCAGTACCTTCAGTTACACGAGATAATATGTACAAAACATCTGGCACAGTGCTAGGCATATAGTAGGTGTTCAAGAAACACTCTCTGAACAGAGCCCTCAAGATGTGGACGCTATCCCCACTTCCTCCACTGGAAAAGCACTGCTTGAGGGCTGGGGTTGGGAGTGCTCCTGCCGGCACACCCCCATCCCCCAGGCCGGCTCAGAGCATGGATGGCACACACAGACCCTGGGGAAATGCCCTTTGCAATGCCTGGTGCAAAGCCCAGCACGTGAGAGACACTGATAAAAGAGTTCCGACTTCTTATAAATTCCAGAGATATGTAGTGTGCCCCTCCTGTGTGCCATCTACTGGGCTCCTAGACAGGACTAAGACACAGCCCTTGCCGTGAGGGATTGATGCCCAGGCAAGGGACAGATGTCACTGTCTCCAAGACAGAGTGAAGAGCCGTGGAGAGGTGCGTGTGAGCCGCCCAGGAAGTGCAGAGAGCTAGGAGGGGTCAGGAGGTTCTGGGGACGGATTTGCTGGAAGGCAGATTTTCCCAGGATTTCAGAGAGAAACCTCTAGCGAGCCTATACACACGCAGGAATTTGGGAACCACACAGATGTGGAGGGCAGTCCCTGTTCCCACTTGCTAGCTGTGGAAACTGAGCCACGATACCCGCTCACGGGGCCACCAAGGATTGAAGGAGCCAGTGTACTTACAGGATTTCGCCCCGAGTCTGGAACATGGCAGCTGAGTGGGAGCGGGTGATGCCTGTTCCTTTGAGAGGCACAGGCAGGCACTCGCGGTCTCCCCACTCCTTCCAGGCCGCGGCCCTTTGGTTCCAAATCCCTGGCCTTCTGGCCTGGATCATGTGGCCGCTGGTTTCCTGGAAACTGTAGGGGGCAGTTGTGCCTTAATCTGCACCCTAAGCCTGGCCGAGCCTGGGTCTCCCACCAGACTCCTGATGTCACAGCCCTGGGGCCTCCTGGTCGCTGGGATGACTGGTAAACAGAGGGATTGTTTAGGAAAGTCAGCTGGAGTGGTGATAATTTTAGCAAGGTTTCCTGGCACCCCTCCTGGGTCCTACAGCTCAGGCTGGTTGGGAGTGGGAGCAATGGTCCCTGGGCAGTCACTCCCTACGCTGGGGTCTGCGTGCACCCTTGTGTGTGGTCCCAAACACATGAGGTACCTCCAAACTTACTCATCCTTGGATCCCCACCCCCGACATACACATATAGTTGCCTCTACCTGGCCGTTCCAATACCTTCTTGTCCAGCAACCTCCCTCAAATAACTTTAGAGGGGCTCCTCTAAAGGGGCTCCTGGGTGGCTCAGTCAGTTAAGCAGCCGACTCTTGATTTTGGCTCAGATCATGATCTCATGGTTTGTGAGATGGAGCCCAGCATGGAGCCTGCTTGGGATTCTCTCCCCCTTGCTCTCTGCCCTTTCCCCCTCCCATCCCCCCACCCCTCTCATGCTCTTTCTCTCTAAATAAATAAACAAACAACAAGCAAACATTAAAAAATTAAAAAAAGAAACTTGAGAGCCCAGTCTTGTTATCTGGTGATTTCTACATCCTTCTTTCCCTCTGAGGGTCCCTTACAGGAGAGGGAACGACAGGGTATTTGTTTTTTGTTTGTTTGTTTGTTTGTTTACCTTTAGCCACTTGCACACTGTGTGACCATAGGCAGGTGATTTAACCTCTCTGACCCCCACTTCCTTCATCTGCAAAATAAATTTAATAATAGGACCTTCCTCATTATTAAGGGTAAAGTGAAATCATGTGTGTAAAGGGCTTGTTCACAGGACATGCTCAATAAATGCCTGTTCCTGTGCCTCTTCCTGCTAGCTTCTCTAGAACTCCTACTATCATTCATTCATTCATTCATTCAACGCTTATTTATTGGGTACCTACTATGCATCAGGAACTGTTCTGGGTACTTGTGGTATAGCAATGACTAAAACAGGCAAACATCCTGCCCTCATTGGAGCTTTCGCCCTAGCAGAAATAAGCACAATAAGCAAGTAGAGTTTATGATGTCAGATGGTGATTAGAGCCAGAAAAATAATGGAGGGAAGGGTTTTAAGAGAGGGGTGTTGAAAATGGTGATCGCGGAAGGCCTCACCAAGAGGGTGATATTTGAGTAAAGATGTGAAGGAAGTTTAGGAACTTGCCATGCATGTATCTGGGGGAAAGAATGCTGGTAGACAAGCAGCCAGTGCAAAGGCCCTGAGGTAGGAGCCTCCCTGGGATATTTAAGGAACAAAATAGGCCAGTGTGGCTGAAGCAGAGAGTGGGAGGGAGAAAGGGGGTTCGATGGGGTCAGAGAGAAAGTAGGAGCAGGACCCTGTGGGGCCTTGTAGCCACCAGGAGGACTTTGGCTTGTATTCGGAGGTGGTAGGAAGCTCTTGGAGGCCTTGAGGCCGAGGATGGATGTGGTCTGATGTATGTATGGAAAGGGCCCTGTGGCTGCTGTGTTGGAAACAGGCGAAAGGCAAGGAGAGAAGCAGGGAGACAGTTATGCAGCCACCGCAACATCCATCACGTGATGCTGGGGCTCAGGCCAGGCTCGTAGCAGGGGCTGGACTGGGAACGGAAGGTTCTAGAAATATCTTGAAGACTTTGCTTGTGGGAAGTATGTGGGATGTGCAAAAATGAGAGAGGTCAAGAATGACTGTAAAGTTTGAAACTCAAGCCACAGGAAGGGTGGGGATGCCCTCGGCTGAGTGCGGAGGCTGCACGCTTGGGGTATGAGGGATCAGAGGCTTACGATGGACACGCACACAGACTGGAGTTGGCCGTCAGAGGTCTGTCCAACAGGAACTGACAGGAGAGGTTTTGGGCAGCACATTCCCTCCAGAGCTAAGACCTAGACCCAGCCTCTGTGAGGTCTTAGCTGGTTCTGACTCATCTGTGGGGTTCACCAGCCTCCAGATTTGGTTCATGAACACCCACTATGTTGCCTGACCAGCACTGGGAGTTGTAGGAAGAAGCAAAGACTAACTACATTTTTGACCTCCAGTTGTTTGAAGTCTGAATCAAGACAGACTAGGAAAAGCCCTTTAATAAACTTAGTGACAATAACAGCCAATGTGTACTAATCATATGCTGAGTGTCAGGCAGAAGAGTGATGGAAAGGAGGATTGTGGAGCCAGCTCCCTGAGTTCAAATCCCAGCCCAGCTCCTTATGAGCTGTGTGACCCTGGGCAAGTTGCCTAACCTCTCTGTGCCTCTTTTTGTTTTTTCCCATTTATAAAATGCGAATGACATCAGGACCAACCTCATAAGGTTGTTTTGTTTTTTTTTAGTTTTTTTTTAACGTTTATTTATTTTTGAGACAGATAGAGACAGAACGTGAACGGGGGAGGGGCAGAGAGAGAGGGAGACACAGAATCTGAAACAGGCTCCAGGCTCTGAGCTGTCAGCACAGAGCCCGACGCGGGGCTCGAACTCACGGACCGCGAGATCACGACCTGAGCTGAAGTCGGACGCTTTGCCGACTGAGCCACCCAGGCGCCCCACGGTTGTTGTGAGATTAAATGAGACGATATTTGTGAAACCCTTAGCGCCTCGCACGCGGTAAGTGCCATGCAAGTGTTCAACAAATAAAGCTTTGCCGTGTGCTTTACATGTGTCCTGGCTAATTAAAACAATGGCCTGGTGAGCTAAATGTTACTTCTCTCATTTTTCCCTTTAGCAACCATCTATGAGTTTATAAAACAAATCACTACTTCCTCATGATTATACTCCCCTGATCATAAAAAAACATTTAACGAGGATTTAGTGTTGATAACCTTATGTCTATTAGTCTTGTTGTTATCAGTCTTTAAGCCTTGTTTTTTTCGATAAGTGGATTCATTGTCAATGATTCATGAGCCCCTCTCTTGTTCTTATTTTCTTAAAATGACACATGCAAATAGATGAAAGAGGTAGATGGCTCTACAAGACTCATTAAAAAAAAAAAAGAAAGAAAAAAGAGAACACTGTCACATTTTGCTGCTTCTCTAAGGCAGTGGTCCTCAAATAGAGATGATTTTGCTCCCCCAGGGCACGCTTGGCAATGTCTGAGACAGATTGTCATGACCTGAGTCATGCTACTGGCATCCAGTGAGTAGAGACCAGGGATGCTGCTAAAAGTCCTACTGTGTGTAGGACAGCCCCCTACAAAGAATTATAACAATTATCTGGCCCCAAAGACTAAAGTTGAGAAACCCTGATCTAAAGTGCCAGAAGGCACCAAGGCCTAAAATGCTGAGAGCTATAACATGCTCAAGGTCACTAGTAAATGGCAGACTCAGGACTCAAACGATAGCCCAAGGCTCCCAATCCAGGAGGAAGACAGAACAAAACGTTGCTTTAGAATCTGTGTGATCTGGTCCCAAGCTGTGTAAGAGTAATCATGCCCATTACTGTTACTAAGGCTCAGTTTGCTCATCTATAAAGTGGGTCTGAAAGTACTTACCACATAGGATCGTTGTGAGGATTATGTGGCAAGTTTCAGCACACTGCCTGAGACGTATTATGCCCTAAATAAGCAGCAATGCTTTTATTTTCCCAAAAAGGTGTGAAGGTCCCAAGAAAGGATAGTAACATCTGGTTTGAATAATCTGGGAGGACTTCCAGGGGAGGAGTGTTTGAGCTCGCCTTTGACAGTGGGTTGTGATTTGGACAGGTAGGAATGGGGGGAGGCTGCTCAGGTGGAGGGCATGGTTAGATCAAAGACAAGGTTGGGGGGCGGGCAGAGGGAGGGCCCAGGGAACCGCGGGTCACCGGGTTTGGCTGGAATGGATGGTGCACCTGATGCAAGGAGGTAGAGAGAGAAGAGCTTCTCTTTGACTCAGGTCCCCTCAGCCTTGACCCTCCCAAATACATCCACCGTCAGTCCCGCAAACCTGCTTACAGAGGCACACGGCCCCTCGGCCACCAGGGCCCGCCCTGGGCTGGCAGATCAGGCCCTGGCTGGGGTCGCAGACGTGGAGATGGTCGCAGGGCTCCCCCAGCCGCCGTGCACATACCCGGCAACAGTTGCAGCCGTCCAGCACTAGGGGCGCCCCCGGTGGGCATCGGGGTGGCGGCCAGGGGCAGACACATGGTGTTGGGCACAGCTGGGCACATACCTGCAGAGACAGAGATGTCACTCAGCCATGGCCATTCAAGGGGGGCAGTGAGAGATCCACACTTTGGCCCCAGGGTCACACAGACCTGGCCTTGAACCTCGTGACACTCCTCCCTAAGAGACAGTTGGTATTGCGGTCATGAGCTAGAACTTTGGACTAGAACTCCAGTCCCGACTCTGCCTCTTATTAGCTGAGTGACCTTGGGCAAGTTACTTAAGCTCTCTTAGCCTCAGTTTCCCTATCTGTAAAAAGGGGGCAATAGCAGTGTTTAGCTCAGAGGATTGTTTTGAAGGGTACATAAAGTGATGCATGTTAAACCCTGAGCAGGCAGCCAGGCATGGGGTAGGTGCTCAGTGCATTTAGCAAATGATGATCACTGTTGGGAATGACAAGGAAGGGCTGAGGCCCCGCCCTTTAGACACTATAGTAAGGCAAACGCCACAAAACAAAGGATTAAAATGACAGGGCACTGGGGCGCCTGGGTGGCTCAGTCGGTTGAGAGTCTGACTTCGGCTCAGGTCATGATCTCGCGGTTCATGAGTTCGAGCACCGTGTCTGGCTCTGTGCTGACAGCTCAGAGCCTGGAGCCTGCTTCAGATTCTGTGTCCCCCTCTCTCTCTAGCCCTCCCCTGCTCATGCTCTCTCTCTCTCTCTCTGTTAAAAATAAATAAACATTAAAAAAATTTTTTAATAAAAAATAAAATAACAGGGCACTATATGATTTCTAGCACATAGATTGCAAATCTTTATCTCGACAGCTGAATAAATCAAACAGTATCATAGATGTTTTTGATTGTTGGAATAACCCAGAATATATTTCTGGATACTTATCAAATCAGCCAGGAAACTTGGGAAAATACTGAACCCCAGACCTCCCCTGGGACTTACCAAATATAACCTCCAGAGGCAGGGCCCCGGAATCTGTATTTGTACCAGGCTGCCAGGGGCTTCTGATGCACAGCTAGGATTTTGGCACCTCTGCTCCAGTTCTAACCCCCAGCCCCTGGCCATGGAGAGATGGGGACCCTCGGCTCCAGAGAGAACAAGGGTCTTGCCAAAAGTCACAGTGTGTTAGCCACAGAGCTGGGAGCCTACTTCCTCCTTAAGGATGCTATAGTCGGGAAAATCCTGAGCCAGGGACCCACCGCCCCCCCCCCCCCAGGTGGGTATCGACCCAAGTGTCCTGGCTGTTTCTTCCCACTCAGGACATAGAAACAACCCAACCAGAAACCGGATGCCATGGTCTCCCCATATGTCCGTTTGGAGGTGGGGACCAAGAGGCAGGCGTAACTCAAGATATTCCCAGTGGCCCCCTCCGTGAGGGACCAATCTTTAGTTCAGTAGGATCCTTGGAGGACCAGAGGGTTTTACCTGGAGAATGGAAGCCTTACAGTTTACAAAGATCAAACTAATAACCTCCTATCTTTGGTGTGGCCCCAAAGCAGGCAATGACCTCTTTGCCCTAATCCCTACTTTGCCCCAACCCTACCACCCTCCAGTCCTGCAAACCTGCCTTCAGTGGCCTGCAGCTCACACCCTGGCCACCAGGGGCCGCCCCAAACTGGCCAACCAGCCTTGGGTGGGAGGGGGTGTCACAGACCAGGAGGTACTCCCAGGTTCCAGGCTAGGACAGCACTGGTAACAGGTTCAAGCGTGGAGCCTCACAGGGGAGAGAGTTCCCACCTCTGCAGGAATTCCAAGCAGGAGACTGGGTGATACCAAAGAGATTCTAGAGAAGATGGCCTAGGCTCGCTCCTCAAAGCGTGGTCTGGACCAGCAGCAGGAGCAGCGTCACCCAGAAGTCTGTTGCAGTATCTGGGGCCCCGCTTTATGAGTCTGACTCTGCCTTTTAACAAACCTAGAAATTATTCTCATGGAATTGACCCAGAGAGCAATCAGCCGGACTCTGGGGTTCCCTTTCAAACCAGAGGGTGGGCTCCCTCGGTGAGTGGGAAGTGGGGACTCTGACCAGAACTGGCTCTCGGGTCCCTCCCACCTGAAAGCCGGGGTGCCAGGCCACAGACCGTCTGGCTTGCACCCAGGTTCCCACTTTGGCTCTCCATGAGCAAGCGTGGCCAGGGCCGGATGTGCAGGTCCTGATATGCAGAAGGGGCCACTAATAATATCAGTGATTATGGCTAACAGTTACCACGGGCAGCCGTAATGTGTCATCTGATTTAGCCCTGCGAGGTGAGGTGCCAGCACTGTGCCCACTGTAGAAGCTCAAAACAGTGTGGCCACGTCACCAGTAAGAGGCAGAGCCAGGACCGGAATCTGGGTTCACGTGAATCCAAGGCCCAGGTCGTAATTATCACACCTACCTTGGGGAGATGTTTGCCAGCTTAGCCTCTGCCTCAGTTTACCCATTTGTTCAGGACGGTCAGCGACAGGTCAAGGGAGCACACCAAGGGGAGGTAGGCCCTCTCTGGTCTCCCTCTATCTCCATGCCCTTCCCAACCACCTCCTGCACACATGGTTTTTCTAGACCCTTGCTTCGGTCACCAAGGGGGAAGAGCCCCGGACACAGAATATTCTAGGAAGAGTTGAAATCCAAGTTCTACCACTGACTGGCTGTGTGACTTTCACCACCACGCCGCTGAACCGCTTTGTCGGGGAGGGAGCTGTTTCCTTCTCAGTAAGACAGGGTAGAGACCACCTATCTTGAAATTGTGACAGGGATAAAAGGTCACGGCTAGCTCTCGATCACCGTGACTCTGTCTGTTTCCAGGTCTCTGCCACCTGCCCCTGTTCACAGGCCTGAGCCCAAGAGCCCACAGCCCGCCGGAAGGCTCGGGATTCTCGTTCTGAGGATTGTTGTAGCTTTCCATGTTCGTGATGACCAGGTCCCTGAGTCCTATGCAGGATGCTGCCTGGCTCCCTGGGACCAGGAAGAATAGAGGTGAGGACAGTGAGCCCAGGATGGCTTCATTTTGGTCTTTTATATAAGCCTGGGCCCAGAACCCCGAGCCCCCAAGCCACCCACCTAAGCATGATGTTCTGCCGGGCACCTTCGGGAGAACAAACAGTGGGACTGGGATGCTGGCAGAGTTCTGGGCCTTGCCCCACCGCTGCTCAGGACCCAGGAGAGCAAAACTTCTGCTGTGCTCCTCAGCAGAGCATGAAAGCCCAGTGAGATCATGGCTCGCGGTGGGGCCAATCTCCAAGGCATTTGCTGAGGGAATCACAGGGATCAGCAGCTGTGGCCTCGGTCCAGGTAGGGGAGAGGCCCAGGCAGGAGAGGCACAAGTAGAAGCGCCCCTTCCCCACCCTCCACACACTCAAGCCTATCCTGGGCTCCACTTCCTCTATTGCTCTGATGTTTCTTTGCTGTGTGATGTTAGTCAAGTTGCTTGCCCTCTCTGAGTCCTGCTTGACTAAAAACAGGGGATAATAAATCCTTACGAGGTTGTTGGATACGTTACGCAAGGTAGATGTTTCACAGACCTTCTGAAAAAATGTCCCATAAGAGAAGATCATCATTCCACAAGGTGTCTCCCTGTCCCCTTTCAGCCAGGTCTGCAGGTCACTAGGTCACTCACTGCCAACAGCATTAACGCCCTTGCAGCGTGAACTTTTCCGATCAGTTAGACACCAACATCCTTTCAAACCCTGGCTCACAATCAGGCAAAGCAGGGTGTATGTGGCATCTCCTTATTTGTAATGAGGACGCCCACTTCAGCTTTGTAGGGCTCTGGGGACTGCTAATAGTCATGACCCTCTGCTTCTGAACACCTGCCACGTTCCGGGTGCTGCGCTGAGTACTTTTGATGAATTACCATAAATGATCTTCACAAAAGCCTCATGATCATTATGCCCATTTATCCAAGGAAGCAGCTGAGGCTCGGAGAGGAGAAGGGACTTGCCTGAGATCACACAGCAGAGCTGGCCAGGGGCAACTCTCTGGGCACCAGGGAGGGAAGCCCGGCTGTGCCCAACATAGAAGACCTGCAGGAATTCTTTTAGGGGGTCCTTGGCAGTGATTTCACACCTCCCCAACACACCAAGGAAGTCAGCAGGATGTTTTGGGGCCCAGGGCCCCCTTACCTTTGAGAGGAGGCAGAGGAGGGAGAAGGCCAGAAGGTGGGTCTGTAGTGTGACTCTCATGTCACTGTGTCCCCCACGGAGCCGGCTTTCAGCCTGGGAGGCAGGACCTGTGAGTCTTTATGTTCCAGCAGCTGTGAGGTCACTGCCAGGCACACAGGCTCACACACACAGATGCACACGCACACACAGATGCACACGCACACACAGATGCACACGCACGCTGGTCTCTGCATTCCTGCTCCTCTCCCCATCCTCATGCTCCCACTGATGAGCCCATTTACCTGAAGATGAGACGGCGAGGCCACCAAGAAGGTGCCTACCAGTGTGAGCGTGTGTGCGCGTGTGCGTGCGTGCGTGCGCACGCCCGTGTGTGAAAGCCAGAGCCAATGCCAGTGCCAGGAGCCTGTGACAGGCTGGCAGGGGCCTCTCTGGCTCCTCCCAGCCCAGGAAGGGAAGGGGACCTTCCTGGGCTGCTGCTCTTGCTGATGAGCCCTGGCCCGACCCCTGCCCGCCTCCCTGGGGGCTGTGGATCCAGAAAGAGCTCAGCAGATACCCCCTTTGCTGCGCCGACCCAAATCCTCCGAAGCCCCGTGGCCCGGACTCTGGGCAGTTTCAGCTGGGCCTGTGGTTTCTGGCAGGAAGATTGGCGGCCATCCAGAGGCGGGTGTGACCCAGAGCAAAACTTCCCTGGGCGGCCTGTTTGCTTTTGGCAACAAGGGGCCTCCCCAATGCCTGCTTCCCCGGGCTCCGGGAGGTGGCCCACAGCGGGTGAGCCCCGTGCAGGCTGGACCTATTGTGTGCCGGTGCTTGCCGGGCCCCTGCCAGATGATCTAGAAGAACCGAATCCATTTCGTTTAATTCAGCCATCTCTGAGGCCCCCTCTGTAGGAGCTGGAGACACAAGAGTGACCTTGGGACAAAGCCCAGAGTGGGTGACGACAGAGGGAAAACAGGTGGAATTTCTGGGCCTACTGAGGAGGGGTCCTTGTTCAGACCGAAGGGAAGGGGTGGCTGCCTGGGGGAGGCGCCTTCACAGAGAACCACAGGAAAAGGAGGTGTGAGGAGAATGTTGCAGGCAGAGGCAAACACAGCAGGAGTGAGTGTGATAACATGCCTACTCTGGGAGCCAAAGGTGTGGCCGGAGCTGGCGGAGGTGGGGAGGAGTGTTCTACATGGGGAGCAGGACACCGAATTTGTACCGCCGGTGTCTGGGGGCATCTCCAACGATCCAGCCACCGGGGCTGCCGGACGTGGGCAAGTGCTTGGGTTGTGGCATTTGGCAAAGATAATCACCGGTGGTGTCAAGGGGGGGCTGGGGAGGGCTTTGGCCCCCATAATCTCCACCAGTACCCCAAAACTTGAAGTGAAGGCGCTGGGTTCCAGAATGGGCGGTTGGTGAGGAAGAAGGGTGAGCTGATATAGGGGTCAGACTGAGTGGATTTCCTAGGGGGAAACGCCCTCCCAGCTGCCGTCCTGGGGAAGGAGGCCATGGGGAGGGGAGATAAAGGTTGAAATGTACGACCCCGGCTCCGTCTCTGTGGGTTCTGGCTGGAGGGGGAGGGCAGGGGGTCCCTTGGCCTGCAGGGAAGGGGATGCGGTCTTCGTTTATAAATGCTTCTATTTCGGTCAGAGGCATGCCTAGGGGACTCTACACACGGGGCGGATCCTTGCTGAGCACCCCCTCCTTCGCACGACAGAATTATTTTCCATAATAATCATAAAATGAAACAAATACTTTTCATGTATGACCTAAGGTTTGCAGTTACCAAACAAAAACACCACCCTCCACAGCTCACACTGTGTCACAGTGTTAATGTTTATTTATTTTTGAGAGAGAGAGAGAGAGACAGAATGTGGGCAGGGGAGGAGTAGAGAGAGAGGGAGACAGAACCTGAAGCAGGCTCCAGGCTCTGAGCTGTCAGCACAGAGCCCAGCGCAGGGCTCAAACTCATGGACCCTGAGATCATGACATGAGCTGAAGTCAGATGTTTAACCGACTGAACCACCCAGGCACCCCTCACCGTTTTAAATTTTTAGCACAGACCCAAATTCCAAGGAGTCACATAGAATGAGAGAATTGACAGACCTCTATCTCCGTCTTCACTGTCACTCAGCATCCACTGATGCTTTTCATCTACTGTCGGGGTGCAGAACTGTCACCCCCAGGGTTAGAGACAGGTGCTGCACAAGATTCCAAACTGTCAGGCACTTCTGCTCTCGGTGAACGTGTGCTCCTGGGCTCATGTGTACTGGGCAACTGTCTTCCTAGATTTCTCCAAGTTCACTTCCATGTAGGTTTATTAAAGGATAAGAAATTAAAATGTGCTAATTCGAAGCTTACCTACGCATTATTAAAATTCAACAGCTACGGCATCAATTGTTTAGAACTTGGACCAAAAAAAAGATATTTTCAGGACAAAGTACTTTATCATGAATTTATGATTGATGTGATTTATATTTATATACTGGCATGATTTATATTTATATACGGACTTCTCATCAATTTTATCTTTTTTTAATGTTTATTTTATTTATTTTGAGAGAGAGAGAGAGAGAGAGAGAGAGCACCCAAGTGTGGGGAGGGGCAGAGAGAGGAAGAGAGAGAATCCCAGGCAGGCTCTGCCCTGTCAGCACAGAGTCTGATTTGGGGCTTGATCTCAGGAACCATGAGATCGGGATCTGAGCCGAAATCTCGAGTTGAACACGACCACCTGAGCCACCCAGGTGCCCCTCGTCAATTTTACCTTTAAATTCTCGATGTGCCCCTCTTATTGCCTACACCCAGGGAAGACCACTCCCATGCCCTGTCTTTGCTGAGACCACCGGTTTTAACAACAATGAAAGAAAAGGGCCCTCAGAGGGAGCCAGCCCGGTGCTAAGTATTTTTTTTTTTTTTTATAAAAAGTAGTGTTTCTAATCCTCACAGTGTATGCCTCAGTAAGAAAGGTGAGGTTCAGAGAGGATAAGTAACTTCTCTAAGGTTACACAGCTAGACACCAGAGCCAGGTTTTCAGCTACTTGTCCGTCTGACTCCAGAACCTTCCGTTGTGGTTTGTGTTATTTATTTTGGCTACGGCTCCTAGAGCTCTCTGTGGCATATGTTTTTTAGATCGAGGGGCAACGTGCTAGTGTGAAGTATACATCTCGACAACTCTTTGCATGTGTGCACGCCCATGTAACCACCACCCAGAGTAAGATACATTTCCAGAAGATTCCTCATGCCCCTTCCAGGTACTCGCTATTCTGACCTCTATCAGCATTGATCAGTTTTTCCTGGGAGGAGCGGCGTGGAACCACTTCTCTCGCTGAGGCAAGAAGGAAGACAGGAGGATTTCCGTGTGGGGAGGAGCTGCTCACGGCAACATCGGAGGGGGAGCCTCCACAGGCAGTGGGGAGGTGAGGCCGCCGCGGGGTCCTGGGGGAGTGAAGAAGGCATGGGTCAGCGCCAGCCAGGTAGGCGACAAGAGATGAGTGGAAATCCTGCCACCCACCCCTCCCCCGGCGGGCCCCTCTGAGTCAGAGTGTGGCTGTTTGCTTGGAACTTGTTCTAATAACTGGGGATGGCAGCGTGTGGACAGGGAGGGGAGGCCCTGGGGCCTGGCCAGTTCTGGAAGCACGCAGGCTGGCATCGGGGCATTTGGTGATGAAAGTGTCAGAGACGAGCCTTCCACACGCAGTTCAGAGTGTTGAAAACCTGCGGCAGGAACTGCCACTTTGCTGACCGGGTGCGAGTGGGTTGGGCTCCAAACCGCTGAGTTTGGTGCTGGAGGGACAGTCCAGGGAACCCATGAGTCTCTTGGCTGCTGCTGTAGCCACCCCGCTAGATAAGATCCCAGAATGAGCCTGTCTCCCCTTTGCGTTACCAGAAGGAAACATAGCCTCATAAGTCAAAAGGTCCTGGCTTCAAATCCCGGCTCCCCCATGACTCACAGTGCTGGGATTAGGGTGCACTAAGGGGTGCTCCTAGATGCCCCAAGGGAGCAAACTTTAAGGGACTCTCCCTCTCAGGTGCCCGCCTTGCACTGCGTCACCGGAGAGTGAGCGCCTCTTGAAGAGGGAGGCCCCTGGGGCACAAAATGAGTTTATGGCAGCAACTCAGTAAATATTGGTGGCCTGACTACATAGGACAGTCCCCTATCCTAATGTGTCATTCGGGGACATTAGGCTATGCTGAGGTCACAAATCCCCAAAGCTCAGTGGCTTGACCCAACAAAGGTTTATCTTTGCTCACGAAGAGTCCAGTGGAGTCAGGTAGGTCTTCTCCATCTTGGGCCCGATTGTCTGGCCCTTCCCTCCCCACGTGTGTGCTCCGAGGTCAGCGGCGGCGCCCAGGTGCTTGTTTGAAAGGAGGAATCCCAAGCCCCGCCCAGAATCAACCTGCATTTTAATGAGACCCATAGGTGATTTGTATGCCAATGGAATTTCTGCCTGGTGCGGGTTCAGCTGGTCTGCAAATACCCAGCCCCCAGGCACCTCTCCCGGCCTCTCCTTCCACACATTCCCTGGTCTGGGCGGGAGTTCAGAGGTGTGCTCCTGGCCTGAGATCCCAGGTGCCATGATGAGCTCCTTCTCCCACCCCTTAGGACAGCTGTGGGGCTTGAACAGTTTAACACTTGGCTTCAGTCTGAGCTGGCAAGGTTCTGTGTGCAGGGACACACAGGGTCCAAAGGGGCTGGAATTCGGAGCTCTCAGCCCACGCATGTGACCGCCTCTGCACACGGCCTCATGCAGCCGTGTGAACTGGGAAGACTGGCAGTGAACTGGTCCTCACTTGCTGGGTGAGGGGGTTGGCACCCGGGGCTGTGCCAAGGGTGCAGCTGGTGCAGCATTGATAAGCCTGCTGGGGAGCTGGGAGGAAGTCATGATGGGACATGGAAAGGGCTTTGGAAATTGGCATGAGGGTTTATTTACAGACTTAGTGTGCCAGGGAGAAGGCACTGAACCTGGCACATGTTAGGTGCTACTTACATATTTGTTGCAAGCATGAGTGAATTGGGGGACCCAAGCTCTAATGCCAGCTCTATGGCTACACATTCTCGGGAAAATTCCTTGCCCTTGCTTGGCCTTAGTTTCCTCATTTGTTAAATGGGACTGGGGCAAACTCCATATTTTCTAGGGCCTCTTGGCTCCAGGAATCTGTTTCTGTGTCTGGAAGCATGAGTGTCAGGTCTGATCCAGAGGGAAGCATGGAGGGAGGGACCTCAGGAGTATAGAGTTCTAGAATGTCAGGAGGCAGAGGTGGTTCCTGTAGACTCACTGATGTCTGACTCGTCAGAGTTCAGGAGACCACGTTGAGTTGGAACCAGGTGTTCACGAGGGACTGGGTGCCAGGACAAGTGGATTTGCTCTTTGCTAGACATCTCTTGGAGGATGCAGATAATAGGTTAGGTTATTCCCTCCCCATCAAAGAGCCCCTCCATCCTTCAGGACATTCGGTCTCCAGGGACTTACCTCTCACTGAGTCCCTACAGGTGGCATTACATGTTCATATCCATACCTAATCCATCCATCCATTTGTCCTTCAGTCCAGCTATTCATCTGTATATCCATCCATCCATCCATCCATCCATCCATCCATCCATCCATCCGTATATCCATCCACCCATGCATTCATTCAACAAGCACTGAATGCAGTGGGCCATGCCCTATGAGTACATAAAGAATTAAAATAAGGTCTCAAGGGGCGCCTGGGTGACTCAGTCAGTTAAGCGTCAGCTCTTGGCTTCGGCTCAGATCGTGATCTCACGGTTTGTGAGTTCGAGCCCCACATCGGGCTGTGTGCTGACAGCAGGCAAAGCCTGCTTTGGGATTCTCTCTCTCCCTCTTGCTCTCTGCCCCTCCCCCACTCATGTGCTCTGTTCTTTGTCAAAATAAATAAACTTAAAAGGAAAACTTTAATTAAGGGGTGCCTGGGTGGCTCAGTCGGCTAAGCGTCCGACTTCAGCTCAGGTTATGATCTCACGACTTGTGAGTTCGAGCCCCACGTCGGGCTCTGTGCTGACCGCACAGAGCCTGGAACCTCTTCAGATTCTGTGTCTTTCTCTTTCTCTCTCTCTCTGCCCCTCCCCCACTCATACTCTGTCTCTCAAAAATAAATAAACATTAAAAAAAATGTTTAAGGTCTCTGTCCAGTGGGCTCACAGATTATAGGGGAAGAGAGAGACAAGCAGAGGTGATTAGAGCACAGTAACTGGTAAGGCAATGAGAGAAGAGGACCCAGCCCAGTCTGGGAGGTGGGAGAGGTGGCTTTGGAAGTCTTACTGGAGGAGGTGACATCTGAGCAGAGTCTTGAGGCAAGAGTAGGAGTTGTCCAGGCAAAAAGTCCATTAAAATAGAGGCTGGGAGAGAACAAAGGCCTGGGAGTAGCATGAGGGCAGGAGCTGTGAGTGGCTGAGCCTGGATAAATCCTGGAGGGCTAAGTGAGGGGCAGGCCAAAATGCAGCTGGAGAGGCCTGGTCATGGAGGGCCCTGTGTCAGTTGGCGGGGGACGTTTGCGGCTGGGGCTGGGAAGAGGGATTGCCTTGGGAAATCCAGGGACTGTCTGGAGATGCAGAAAAGCTCTGGATCAGGCATCAGGATGCCAGCTTCCTTCCTCCTCTCTACCCCTAAGTGGCCGTAGGGCAGTCACCTGCCCTCTCTGGGCCTTAGTTCCCCTGCTGTGACATGACAAGGTGGCCCTCTGTGGCCTCTTGGGAGACTTCCAGCTCTGAGGGAGCCCTTGAGTCGCATGTGGTTAGCAAACCCAATACCCACGTGAACATCTGGCCTGGCCTGAGCCATGAGTTAATTGTTCCCAGTCCCTATGTGTGTTGGGGGTGGGGAGGGCATTTGTTAGGGGGACCCTGGTTGGGGGCCGCCCCCACAGGGCTCTCAGTCATGGGACAGGAGGATGTGCTAAGAAGGGAGTGAGTCACCAGCCAGGCATCAGTTTGGGCCCCAGGGTCCCCAGGTAGGGGGAGGGGAGCCCCACTCCTGACTCCTAGTTGCCCCAGAACCCCCTTCTGAAAACAGCAGACCCCTGTTCAGAACAAACTCCCACACAAAACTAACATTTTTAAAACCGGCCCAGGGAAGATGGTTTGGGATGAAGCAGAGGGAGGGGGCCCTCAGCTGGGGCTCCAGGCCCTCTCCCACCCACCAGCAGTCCCCAAGGCCTGACCACTGTGATTTACTTCCTCTTAAAAGATGGCCTGGAAGCATCTCCCAGCTCCTACTGTCTGGGATTCAGACAATAAGATAGAAGCGATTCAGGGGGCGGGGAGAGACCCGATCACGTCCTGGCTCTGTCACTCACTGCATGACCTTGGGTGAGTCACTTCACCTCTCTGGGCCTCAGTTTCCAAGCAGAGCTGTCATGAGAATTAAAGGGCTGGGCATAGCGGCATTCAGGAGATGGCACGTTCCTTGTGACTCGTGCCCTCTCAGTCTCTGCCCCCTGCCCTACAGCCCCTCGCAGCTACTTGCTCCGGGCAGCGAGGAGGCTGTAGCCACAGCTGAGACTTGCCCTTCCGTCTCCAAGCTGACTGGCAGTTTTTCTCACCCTGCAGCCCTTCCAAAAGGACCAGCCACACCCTCCCTCTGGGCATAGCCCCTACTCTCAGGAACCCAAGACCTGCCTCCGTAGAGGTAATTTCACCCTCAGACACCAGATGGGCCGTCCGGGCTGCAGCAAGGGGCACCCAGACCGGCTTCCAGGAGCCCAGAGCAGCTCGTGGGACAGAGAGGCCCCCAGTGCCCCATCCAGCCGGCCCCACAGAAAACACTTCATTACTGGAAGCCCAGCCAGGCAGAGGGGCTGGAAGTGGTTGTGCTACAGGAAGCCTCACAGGGTCAGCCAAACCTCGGCCTTCGGGGCCAGCAGCAGCCCACGGACTGGCCACATGGGGCTGGCTCACTGGGGGTGTTTACGGAAACCCTGGCCCTGAGGCCGGCCCAGCTGCCGGGCTGGGATCCCCTGAGGCCCCCCAGGCCTCCAAGTGCCAGCTTGGCAGAGGACATCAAAGCTGCAGCTGAAGCCTTGTTTTCCTCATGGCCCACCTGGGGAGTGGAGAGCTGAGGACCTACCCCCCACCCCCCAGAGAACAGGGGGTGGTAGAGATGGGTGAGGTCTTCAGGCCGGCTCTGGGCCCCCTGGTCCAGCTTCCCTGAGCTGGGTCAGGGGACCAGGCCCTTTCTGGACACCCTGGAAAATGGCATCAACTCACAAGAAGCAAGTAGCCAGTGGATTCTGGAGCCAGGCTGCCTGGGTTTAAATCCTGACATCGCCCCTCACTGGCTGTATAACTCTGGATAGTTTGCTCAGTTTTTCTGTGCCTTGGTTTCCCTGTCTGTAAAATGATGATAATAGTACCCACTACAAGGAGACATTGATATAATGAAATGATCTCATTCGTGTA